TCTTTCATGTATTTGCAAATGTGTTGAAAAGCGAGGGTAAAATTAATGAAAGAAATGCAAAAAGTGGGTTGCCGATATTTATTTCCAAAATCTTCTTTAATGCAAATATTTGTTGGTCAATTTATCTACACTACGGCCTGAATCCAGCTTGATTATGGTGCATCCTGCCGTCTCATACTGTCACAATCACCAAAATCAATTGCATCGATTCTATATGGTTAAATGTGATTTTTAAGGACTTATTCGAGATATTTCAAATCTAATATATTCGTTTTATCGCTGTGATTTTATTTCATCCTTTAGTTAGCCGAAGATTAATTTGTTCAATAGTTATTAAAGGCAAAAAAAAAGGATGATAGATAATAAATAAAGAGTAATCAAGTCGCTTCGTTGACCATTCTATTTTTATGTGAGATCCATCAAGCGGTTAGTTCGATAAACGTATCTTTGTATCGAAAATCAAGTCGAACTATTATCATATCAATCCGCTCAAAAGCAACAAATCACATCATCCTTTTTTATATTGATTTCAGTTAATTTCAGTGTGAGTTATTTATCGTTTCGTTTTTTTTCATAAGAACCCTTATCATTACTGGTTTGACTCGTTTTGCTTGGTTAGCGAATTTGCCAGGGAGTTCCTTGGCGATAGAAATGCAGGTGAGTCGCTCGGATTTTCGAATAGGGTTTACTCTTGCATCACAATAGAACTCTAAATTGAGCAACAACCATTGCTACTGAGCCTTTCTTTCCTCGGTTCTATTTCTTTCCTTACAAAATCTTTCCTTAATCCTATAATTTTAATTATAATTTTTTTTCGAAGAATATGTTCATTTTTATTGGCAAAAGATGAAAACGATAATTTTTAACTTAATGATAATTTCGTGATAATTCTTATCATAATGATGATGAATTATTTGAAGACGATATACTCGTTACTATTTTAACTTTAATTTTAATATCAATAAAATATATTAAAAAAAAAAGGTATTTCAGTGGTATTAGTGATGTCTGTTGCGTCAGAAGTATCAATATTTTTCATTTTTTATTGCTTCTTTTTTGTGGCAATCGTAAATGGAGCTAATGGTAATTTTTATAATCAACTTTTAATCGACAAATCTCCGCATAATTTTCATATCAAAAATTTTTTTCGTTTTTTTTTTTAAATAATAAAATAAAATAAATAAAAAATAATAAAATTATATTATAATGTTATAATATTATATTATATTATTAATAATATTAATATAATATAATATAATAATAAAATAATATTATTATAATAGTAATATTATATTAATATTATATTATATTATAAAATTATATTTATTACCATAACATAGCGATGATATTATTTCGAATTTCTTTATTTCGAATTTTTTATTTTAAAGATAATTATTGAATTTTGCAAAAAAAGATTGCGGAAAGAAAGAGCAACAAATTAATTTCCGTTTGGTAGTTTAAATTAGATTAAATTATAATATTTAAATATTGAAAATACAAACAAATATAACCGATAATAAGCAATACGATTATTATAGAGATGTTTTTTTTTTTTTAACATGGCACTAAAAATAATTTAAAAGTCTATTGGAATTCAAAATTAGTGTATAAAAAACAAAAAAAAAATAGTGCTATCAAATATATGGTACTGGCAATATGAAAATCTTGCAGACATCTTAAATCCAAACATGTTGGCTTATGATCGATTCAGTGGATCGCTATCGAAGAGGGACTTAAAACAGATATGGCCTTGGGGAAAGCGTACTAGAGAGGTAGAGGAGAATTTTAAAAATTCATCAATTATATAAATTATAAATTAAATTGTTAGAGAAGTATAAAGTGTAAGTACCAAGCAATGGTAGGCACAATGGCACCATTTATAATATGAATATTCTATAATTCAAAAAATTTTCTTAAATAATAGATAGAAACTATGCTAAAAACCTTGTAATTCGTTATCACATTATCACAGAATTCGTTAAAGTATCTTTTAAAAAAATTTTTTTAGAAAATTTTTAAGAAAATTAATTAGAGAAAAATGAAATTAATTTTTTAGCATTTGATGGAACCAAATTGGGATAATCTTGGTTGGACTTGGGGAAAACGTTCAGTGGTACGTTGATTGAATTTAAAAATTCTTACAAAAAAAAAAAAAAATTATTCTCAAAAAAAAAATAAAGAAAAACGCGAGATTTCTCAATTGACTAAAGGCTTTTAAGATGTTTTCATTATCAATAAATCAAAGGCTTAAATATTATTGAGGCCGAAAGCGATTCCCATATTTCTCCAATATATAAATCTATATAATTATTTATTTATTTTTTTTTTTTAGTCGAACCTAAAAAAAAAACAATCGTTTAAATAATTAAAATTGAATGAATTTTATCATATCTGATAAAAAAATATATTTATTTATCTAAATGAATACCAATAAATTTGAATTTTAATTTGAATTTTTTTTGAATTTTAATTATATAAAATTAAAAAAAAAATTTTTTTTTATTATTTTAAATTAATTTAAATTATTATTTATTATTATTTATGAAGTGTTTGCCGTTTTTGAGAATTTCTCTGAGAATTACAAATTACAGATGAACAACGAACCGAATTGGGATAATCTTGGATGGGCTTGGGGAAAGCGATCGTTGGTTAGTTTATTTAAATTATTTTCTATCTAAAAAAAAAAAAAAAAATTAAATCTCTTTTAATAACAATGAGACTTTTACAGCAATAAAAATCTCAAAAATTGCCTATATAAAATAGTTTTTTTTTTTTCCTTCCGATTTCTTATTAAAAAATCTAATTAAATTTTGCAAAGTAATAGATTTTTTGCAAAATTCCTACTCGTTTTTTTTTTTTTTTTTATAAATTTATTTATTCTAAGAATTATATCTTTCATGAAATAAACAATTAGATGCGACATACTAGACGAGCAGCCGTCGTTCGTTCGTTCGTTCGACTACACTGATTTCATTTTTATGACGAAAAAGGAAAAAAAAAAGAAAAAAAGCCAATACCCGTGACCGGGGATAGAATAGCTCAGTGAATTGTTGCTCAGTTGAGAGCGCCGATGCTGAGGTTCGATTCACCGCAGGAGTGAACCTGTACAAAAATCCGGCTGATGCTGGCTGACTCACCTGTATTTCTATCGCCAAGGGACTCTGATGCTGGCTGACTCACCTGTATTTCTATCGCCAAGTGACTCTGATGCTGGCTGACTCACCTGTATTTCTATCGCCAAGTGACTCCCTGGCATATTACTCTATGTGACAAGCCAATGGATCGAGTTCAACCAGTAATGGTGAGGACTCTTAAAAAAATACGCATAACCAATCATCTGAAATTCGATTGCCTCATGACTTACGATAATCGACATTGTACTTTACAAATAATTTTCAAATATCAGATTTAAAGTAAATAAAATTAGAAATTAGAAAATGAATTCGAAATAAACTCTGCTCCATTTATTGTTTTATTTGTTAGTGAATAAAAACACTGATCTTGGCTTATCAAAGTAAAATGAGCTTATCAGTTAGTAATGAGAATTTATTAAGTTGTTTATCAATGTCAATCTTTCAAAAAAGGATAACAATAACTAATCACTAATTCATATTTAATTCATATAAATAAAATAACAGTGAAATTTATAGTTTACCAATTTAGCTAAAACTTTTCGCCTCTCGAAATAACAAAATTCTCCGCTTTCATCCCCCGTGTAAAAATTTTCCCAAATTTTCAGCACAACAAATGCATTAACCATTATTAGAATTGAATTTAGTAATGCTCTATCATATTTGAAAAAGCTTTTAATTTTTACGCCTTCTTTTAACAGTATTCATCATTTCTGGTTTGACTGACGCACTAACCAACAAAATGAGGTGCCTTCACCTCTTCACCAGAGTCAATTTAGTACAGAAATAAAAATGCCTTTGAGGGTTTAAGCGTTTAACGATGTTTAACTTTAGTCAAAACAAAGTACCACTCAACTATATCACCGAGGAAATTTCCTAGGGAAATTTGCCATCGAGAAAAATCTAAATAAGAAAATATAAGAAAATTTGGTTGAACCGTAATACAAAAAAAATTGTAATAGAAACATCAATCTTTAATATTCATATAGCACCTTTAACCCCAAGAAATTCTATGAAAAAAAAAAAAAAAAATGAAGAAATCTATCGCGAGATGGATAAAATTTCACAGAACCCAATTCTAATTCTTTCTTTTAATTAATTTCAACAAAATTAGGACCTTTCCGAGCTGAGCTGATCGACTGGATTCAAAAAATTCAGATTGGCTTAATCACTCATATATTATTGTTTTTTACAAATTATTATATAAATATAAATATATATATATATATATATTTAAAATTTAAGATTGGCGATGGCAAAGCAACTCGACTTGAGAAAAAGAAAAATAGTCCTGACTGGCACGATCTCGGATGGTCATGGGGACGAAAGTAGATGACACCACCATCAAACACTACAATGGAAATCTTGTTGTGATCATATATAAGTTTTTAATTATTCACCCGTATATTTCTTTGAAATGTTCAAATAATAACATTGTGGACCTAAATAGCAGAAATAATCTTTTTTTTTTTCTATTGATACAATTGTAACTCTTCAATATAACAAATTTTTTATGATTTAAAAGCAGCTTAATTACAAGTCGGCATCTTGATTATCAACGATCAAAACAATAACCTGTAAAATGGTATAAATTTGATAGCAATTTCTCGGATTCTTCATAGAAAAGATATCTTTTCCTCAATAATTTATTCACAATTGAATGCACTGTGAGATCTTACAATATAATAAGAGAAAAAATAGAAACAAGATAGAAACAAGGAATAAAACTAAATTTTCAACAAACAGAAAATTGATATTTGACCAAATTCCAAATTTGGCACTTAATAAAATTCAGACTGAATCCGAATCCTGAAGTAGATTTTTACTCTTCGGGCCAAAAGCAAACAATATTCTCAAAAAAAACTTAGATCATTTGCCCAATTTTGCCGGATCTTGCAATTCAAAATCCATGCTTTCGAACGTTATATCAACCTCCATATTGTCATCCACAGCTGGTTCAGCCACACCCTTCTCTTCTTCAGTTTTAGCGGCTTCGGCAGCTTCAGCTGCGGCTTTAGCACTCAATTCGGCGTTAATCGCTGCCTAGATCAAGAAAGATTTAAAATTTTTTTCTAGAAGTGACCACGACAAAAAAATAGAAATTGGCAATGAAGAATTTATAAAGAACTGTCGAATAAATAGTATAAAATTAAAAAATTAGACTTAAGAATATAAAGAAAAAAAGTCTCACCTGTCTTGCCTCAAAATAATCTTTCATATGTTTTTTATAACTAATCTTTAACTGATCGACGTTCTTTGCATATAATTCATGAACAAATCGACACATATGAATAGTATCTTGGATTTCAAGCGATTGTGCTGGCGGAACTGCCTCAAGCTAAAAGCAAATAACGAGAATTAAAAATTTTTCCAAATTAAATTATGTTCTGATATTTCGGAACTCAAGAATGATTAGCGACTAAAAAAATATATGAAAAAGCCAAAAAGGAGGCGAAATTACTTATCCAATTTTTTTTTTAATGCTATTTCTGATTATGGTCACTGCGCTGGTCAGACTAGAAATTCTATCAGAAAGCCATTTTGGCTCAGAGAAATGCAGGTGGGACATAGTATCAATTTATTCCATATGATAAAACACGAAATCAACTTATCTCATTCAAAACTAATAATATTGCCTACAAGCATCGTATTGTATTCTTCTATTTTATAGAAAAAAAATTCAGTACAACCAAAAATAATAATTCATACAAGTAATTCAATAAAACAACCTTTCTCGAAGAAGGAAACGGCTCATCGGGTATAAGAAGTAATTTCAATGGATGCTTGTATAGCTGAAATCGAAATGTAAAATTATTACTAGAAATAATCATTTTTAAGAAAAAATCATTTTAACATTAAAAATGATTAGATTTTTATTTGGCACTTGGATGAGCGTTTTTTGCCGAACTTTTTGATATGAAATTCATCATGAATTAAATGAATTTAATTGAAATATTAAATATGACAATAACTAACAATTCAAAAACTTTCCATACGACAAAAATAAACATAAATAATATTACCCTTTGAAAGGCTGGTGCAAGTTCAAAACAATTTCGATAAAGTTCTGCTCTTCCTAAAACATACAAACCGAGACGGGCTCGAGATAAAGCAACAATTAACCGCCGAACATCTCTGTAAATAAACAATTACAATTCATGAAATAAATAAATCATCACAATAAAACCGATTCCGAATCGGATCCGTCGAGCGGATAAGATATCACATGATCGCATCCACCTTCGTTTAAATACCACTTGCATAAATAATGCAATCACAGAGCATCGCCTTCGCTGGTTGGGTCACATTCTCCATCGTCCACCACAGGAGTTGACGCATTTCGTTACTTGTGAAACCATGTGATGGTTGGCGTCAAAATCGAAGTGGGCCAATCAAGACCTGGACACGGTCAGAAAAGATTCTGAATGTATAGGTGGACCAGCAATGTATGAACTTAGACGATGGAAAAAGGAATGGCTTCTATTACTGTCGACGATGGCATCAGACCGCGCAGCTTGGAAGCGTCTTACCCTTGTAGCCGTTGGATCCAGCGCAACCAGTAATGGGGAGAGCTATTAGCAGAAGAAAAAGAATAAAAGCGAATGCGAAAATAAGATCTTTAGTTCACTGAAAACTGTAAATAACTCGCCTGATATGACCAATATTTTTTGTTCGCACAAGAGATAAAATAATGTAATCATTCTGTTGGCCTTGATATTTGTCAACAGTCGAAATCTACAAAAATTAAATGATTTGAAGAATTTTTTAAAAATTTTTTAAAAGATTTTTTAGAACAACTGATAAGGATCAGAAAACTAGTGGAGAAAAGAATAATAAATTTGATAAAAAAATAATAACTGGCAAAACTTAAGAAATAATTACTTTATGCGGAACTCCAATTAATGGATTTTCAGCACAACGTCGCTGCACAACATCACGCAAAAGTGATGCCTGTCCATTGTATGTCGTTATAATAGAAATTTTATCATGTGGATAACCTAATATGCGCATATAAGTAAATAAGGCCACCGCATATTCTGCTTCACCAAGATTCTGCAAAAAAATAAAAATAAAAAAAGAATGCAAAGAAAGAAAAAGAAAGAAATCATCATTTGAGAGATAGAAATATAGATCAATCACCACCCGATTTCAGTTTTAATAGCAAGTTAATATTCGCCCAAGTATAGAAAAAGAACATATGCAGCTTCGATTGTTCATTATTTTTACCAAAACTAATATAAATTTACTAAATTAGGCACCATTTAACCACTATATAACGAAATAAGAACCTGATAAAAATAAGGGTTCGGTGTCTCTTCACCAATACCATTGAAATCGGGTACATCAATAAATTGATAATTAAAAACAAATCCAGCGTTCATTGTCCGATATTCGTCAAGAGACTCAGTATGTGGCAAATTACCAAGATTTTTATAACGCCAGCTGAACAAATCGGCAATCCTATAACATACTGTATTTAAGCAAGAGCAATAAAGATAAATTGATAAACAAGAGGAAACAAAATTTCAGAATAAAAATTATGAATAAAATCTTACTCAGCTCTTGATCGACCTTGACGATCAAGCAAGACATGAGGAACACCTAGCCGGACGAAACGTGCAAATAAGCTTTGTTCCATATTCGAATATTTCTGAAAAGCTAAATTTTGCACGACTGGAGGCAACTGATGATGATCGCCGATCATGATCCATCGTTTCAAGCGATTCCTTCCATCTTGTGGATTCTGTAGTAAATATATATATATATATATATGTACATAATATAACAATAGAACAAAAATTGAGAAAATTATAACAAAATAAATAACCTGAAGCAGAAGGGGCACAAACGTTTCAACTTCTAGTATCTGGGCTGCTTCTTCCATTAGTATATTATCATACCGAAATCCCAGTTCAACCAACTCTTTACGCCTTAATGCAGCATGCGTACAAGTCATTGCGATTATTTTAGCTTCTTTAACCTAAAAAAAAATGTTAAAAAATCGAAAATACAAATCAGAATGAAAAAGGCAAAATATTTACTAGTAAATAATCTGTTCGATCCCGACCAGATCTCAGCAGTTCGAATGATCTAAACTCCTCTAGCTGAGTGAATATGCGACGAATATAGCGCCAACATCCTTGCGCTATGTTCCAATCTTCCGAAAAAGAAATGCCCTAAATCAATTCAATTATTTAAAGGAATTCAGGCAGATTAGTGGAAAAAATACTGAAATAAAGATCCAAGCGAGGATATATTACTTGTTTCAAGAAAGCTGCTTATTTGTGAATGTCATTTAGGTAAGTTTCTAAATTTAAACATATCTTTTCACTAGAAAAATAGCAAAAGCAAATATTCCAGGCCCATCCATGTTTTGCCCACATGAAAAATGCTGAAAAAAGACCTGGGATATCTCTATTTAAAAAAAAAATTCAAGTTTTAAAGCCAATATAGAAATATTTGATTTTATATTCAAAACAGATAATCAATCATATCAGCTTTAAATATGATAGGATGAAGAACAAAATATAAAATTTTTCATGCAGCAGAAAAGTTTTCAAGCTTCATTAAAATATGAACTCACTGATACTGATAAATTTCATTAATCTCAAACTTAAAATTAGACAAAAGGCAGTGGAAGGGAATTACCAAGCAAACACCATGAACTATATTCAAAAATATAATAAAAGAATAAATTAACAAATTACTTTAAACAGAGGTTGTGGTGCATCATCAAAATATTTTGTGAATGGAAATTTCTTTACGATTATTGATGGATCTGGAGAAGAATTGCGTGACATTATCAAAACATCGCTTTCAAACTTTTCCCATCGGGCGAAAACCTTCATAAAAATAGAAAAAAATAAATGAGGCATATTAAATTAATAATGCTTCAAAGTTTAAAAATTGATAAATATATAATGAGATGACAAAAATATGCCTATACCTGATAAAGAAAGAAATGGCCAGCAGTTTCGCATGTATATGCAACATCCCCAGGAACTTCCAGAGATTGCTGCAATTTTTCCACCTGAAATATACAAAATTATACTGCTAGTCATGCTGATTTTAGTTGCCATATAAGACCTATCACTTCAATTACCACAATATACTGAAATTACTTTGCAGCTGAATAGATCAAATATTTTGGCCCAATTATAAACCTGTTTTATTCTCCAATTCTTTTCCTGGATAGCCTATATACATACCATCGCATCTATGTAATATGACAGAAAAAATTTTTGAATATTGATGAATTACAAACTCATATTAAAAAAATGAAAAAATAAAAATTTACTTCATTTAGAAGCTCTAAACGAGTTTTTAAAACATAGTTAACTCGACCATATCTGCTAAAATCTTTTTCAGTTTCCAGAGCTTCCTCACCATGCCCTGGAAGCATAAATAAGAAATTAAAATATAAAATGAAGAAGCAGAATAAGACATATAATTTAATAAAAGGATTCATTTTCAGATATTCAGAAACAGCTAACTCACCATTTTTCTTCTACGATGCTCATTTATACACTGAATTTAATATAATTTACACTTTACATCATCACACCATTTAATAACAATATTAACAAATGATACAAAATAACATTATTCGATTACCTAAACGAAGTAGATGTCGCTCATCAACATCCAACGCCATAATTTTCTCGAATAATTGATTTAGCGCTTGATTAGAATGTGTTACTACAAGTGTCTTTTGTTCTGGCCAGTTGTGGTAAATATTTGATATAATCTGCACAGCCACATCCGTTTTACCTGCTCCAGGTGGACCGACAACCATCGTTAAGCCCGGTTGCATACCAGATTTAATGGCTTCAATCTAAACAAAATTTACATGCACAAATCTTGAAAAATAATAAGAAAGTTCATCTCTAACAGGTTAATAACGATCCGAAAAAATTGCAAAATGATCAAGAACGAAATATCTAACTCATAAAATTAAAGGAGGGAGTCAGCAGGAATTTACCTGAGCTGGAGTAAAAAGTATTGCGTTTTTGCGAGGTTCAACATGAGGGTATGGACCACGAGATGGAACCACATAAGACTCAACAAATATCGACGTATCACGCTGGGATAAATCTACATTGTGTTGTGGTTCCAGTTCTTTGAAAGTCAACCTAAATATTCAAATGGTTGAGAAAAAGTCTCTATTTACAGAAACATATTGTAAATAGAGATACCTATATGGAGGAGGATGTAGGGATGGATCGTCGTTACTAGTAACAATCTTTTGAGAAGGAAATGATGCCAGCAAATGCTTGTATGAAATGAAGGTATCACAAAAATCCAGTGAAGCAACAACATTATTCATACTGAAAGTTTGAATTCATCAGAACCATAAATCCTTCATGAAATGAAATGAAATGCATAAGCTAAAAAATCGTCGTCAACTGAAATATAAAAGAAAAAAATGATTCCAGAAAACTAACTGCTTATAATGAGCAGAATGAGCATCGCCATAGCCGAGAATAATGTCATGGATCCAATCGGGAACAACACATTCTGTATTTAATAACTGTCGTATGGTGGAGAGAACAGCTTTGAAATTATTTGTTCTTGGATCCCTTCGCACAAGCAAGTTAAATGAATGATATATTTGCTAAAACTTAGTCAAAATTTAACAAAAAAAAGTAAAATAACCATGGAAACTTGACTAAACTGAAACTTACATCGATACTCTGTTCAGGATCATTTTCCAAGTCTAGCCGATATTGATTCTCATCGAGCCAAACTCGAAAAGTACGTTGATCACCAGTGAGATGCGGTTTTTTCTCATATGCAGCTGTAAAAAATTCAACTCGATAATAAAATCTGAATTCGCAATAAATCTGAATTCTAAGTAATTCTAACTAAGTAATTCTAAGTAAATCTAGGTAATGTAGGAGAAAAAACTAAATGAGAAAATTAAACCCACCGTATTCCTCGATAACATTACCAGAAGAATCAAGCATCCCTTCTATTTCACATCCTCGGACATAAATAACATCTATCTGATCTTTAAAAGGTTTTCTAGTATCATACTTGCCATCTACCGATATTTTCGGCCTACACTTCAACAGAAAACAAACGTCATGCTTTCGCAGATCTAAAACATTGTAAAAAATAAAATAGAACTTTCCGTTATATTTTAATCAGCTAAGCAGAAAACTCTCTTAACAAATAGCAATAAAATACCAAACCAAATAGCTAACCTTCCCATTCAGTCCTTATATCTTTTCGAATTGGCACATTAACAGATACATCAGCTCTCACAACTGCTGGACTCTTTTCACCAACAAGTGGTTTCGAAACTTCCACAAACTGTCAATTAATTAGTTAAACGATTCATCTTTATGCACAACAAAAAAATTAAACAGATTAAGTCTGAACTCATAAACTCATAAAAAAATGAGTCTGCATCTCTGATATTTCTAAAACTTCTTAATCGATTCTTTTAGCAAAAAAGCAAAAAAGTGTGAAAGATAAAAATTCAAAAAAGTGTGAAAGATAAAAATTCAAGTTATTAAATGATTAAGGCAGCAAAAGCATATTTTCTAACTTGAAACGACTGCAGAGGTAGAGCCATACGCGCCCATCCTCCCCAAATTATTTGGTCTTTTGCGCTTTCATGTATCCACGGCTTCATTCGAAAAACGGTATCTTCGATATCCTTTCGAATCTCATCTAAAGATTTTTCGATATTGAAAAATTCAAAACTGGAAAAAATAGGTTTCGATAATTCATTAAAGATGCTAAACGACTTCCTATAAAAAAATAAAGAAAACTAACAAGTTGATTCCATTTGAAATAAATTAAAATTTCTCAGCAGATAATCATGAAGAGTTAAAAACTGCAGATTCAGTTTATTCAGTGGTAACACATCTGAATGAAAACATCTGAATCAGAAATAAATCCCAATGGCTATCAATTAAAACTAGTATCTAGTTAAAATTGGAATTTTGAACACCTACATAAAGCAAACAAGAAAACTAACCGTGACCATTATATTCATCATAAGGCACAAGATTTTCATCCCAAATCATTTTTTCAGTAGGGTATAAAGGTTGCTCATTTAGCTGTTGCAGCTGATTCACGCGTCTTTCACAGTGCAAAGTCTATAAATTTTTGAAAATTTTAAAATTCATTTCGAAAAAAATGGAAGAATTCTGCAGTTTTTATTCCCGTTAGTTTAAGGATAATTTAACCGATATAATATAAGTTTTTAAAAAATGGTATAAAAATAGAAAAAATTATGCATACAAAAAAAGAAGTTCCAATACATCAGAAAAATAAAATTTTATAAACATCAAGATAACTAACGACTGCTTCAGAAAGAAACTGTTTTCCTAAAGGAATAGAATCACTTCTTTCAAGTTTTTTAACCAAATGCAAATATTCTGCAAATTTGTACAAATCGTCATTGCTGAAAAAATAGTTATAAAAAAAAATCAACAAGAAGTTGAGAAATCAGATAAAAAGGAACCATAAAAAAAGAGAGGAACTATTACCTCATTGATCCAAACTGTTTTAATAATGCTTTACGAGAATCAATAGCAGACACATTTAATAGGCAAAATTCCTTCATGCTTTCTCTGAAATTTGATTTTCAGTTATCTGCTCTCAACATATCTCAACCAAACAAATCGCTGTTTGAAATGAATAAAAAAAATTATAAGAATATAAACCAAGATCTATGCTTACAAAAGTTCATAATAATCTTCCCTAGAATAAAACTTCGTAAATTAGTAATCAAGACAAGTGCTTCTTAAAGATGAAGCAAAAGCGACAAACAAACTATGTGGATAGAAGCAGTATTTAAAGATGTAGAACGAAGAATTGTTTTAAAAGAAAATATAATAATATTAGGGTTACCGAAAATACATGAATGCAGCCTTTTGCAGTCCCGTTATGTGCTTATAGTGACGACTCAGCATCTGTAACAAAAAATTAAGAAATCAAAATGCACATTCAAAAATAGTAGTGAAAATAATAAAAAATAAGAGAAATAGTACAGAACCTGACTAGTAGTCAAAGGTTCGCCTGTAATTTCATCGATTTCGAATCTCGAATAAAATTTTAGCATTGTCATTAACTGGCAGAATAAATCCCCAATTTCTGATTTAATTAAAGACGACAAAGTACTATAGGTTATCAAGTTGCTCGCATGCAATAATGGATTAAAAAAACGACTGAAATTAATAACATCGTCAAATCTATGAAAAGATATACGAAACCATCAAGAACTGAATAAAGACACATAATAAGAAATTGAAGAAAACAATAGATAGCATTCTTCTAATACACTTAAGCGGAACTAACCGAATAACTTACCGAGTAGTAAGAAGAGCTTCGAGATCGATGAAAAGTTCCAAACAGTGTTCCAAATAATGAACTGCATCCATATTAACGACATCTTGAATAAGATAATTTAAATGATAGAATTTAAACCAATATAATACTAAACTGGCAATATCAAAAGATCAAAAGATCAAAATATCAAAAGACAAGAAATACCATAAAACTTACCGGAATCAGAACCGGAATCTATCGACTGGAGTATGTATATAAAATCTTCAAGCATCTTCCATAAGAAGCAACATTTCACCTTATTTTTGACTGTTTCAGTTTCTGTCATTTTTAATTTTTTATCTTGCAATTTTTTCCATTTGATTCTTAAAGCTGGATCCGCTTCCAAATGATCACTTAATTGTTCCTATATAAGAATTTTAATTTAAATTAAAAAAATTAAATATTCGCAAGCTAGCAAATTAAAAAATATAATGGAAAAAATTTTTGTATTTCATCATTATTAGTTTCATAATTAATATGACAAAACAAACTGGTAATAAATTCTCCCAAGTTTGCAAAGAGACTATTTTTAAAAATTCATTTCGAACAACATCCACTTCCTGCAATTATCATTTCAATCAATTCTTATTCTACGAACTGCACGAACCGTTAATGACCGGAAATAACTCATTTCTAAATAATTTTCTTCTTGTAATAATTTTTTTTTCCTAAAAATGTTTAACAAAAAAAATCCTCGAAACAAGTGTTAAAATAAAAAAATTTGCTTAATTTATAAAACAATTGAAAAAAATTCAGTGGAATGGAATTTTGTGATCTCACATACTAAAAATTTAATAAAAAAAAAATTTAGCTTCAACGATCTATTATCTTCATGAATTTATAAACACTAACCAGTGAGCTAAGGCAATTCACGAGAAACGCTGCAATAGCTGAACGTTCAATAAAATTCAACTGGGATTCGTCCGTGTTATAAGCAAGACTTAATAAATTATAAAAAAACTCCGGAAAAAAATCTGGTCGCTCTACAATGCACTGAAACAATTATTATATTTGCTAGAAGCGGTTTTATCATTTAAAACTGTTAAAGAAAAATAAAGATAATCGACGCATTTTTCATGTATTTTTCAAACAAAAATTTATATTTAAATTTATATTTAAAAATCTATTTTGAGAATCATCCAGAACAAGCAACCTTTACATAAGCTAAAAATATTTTGTATAAAAAATTATCAAAGTTAGCCAAGTTAGCCCTTTTAATAACACAAAAAAATAACACAAAAAAAATCACCTGCCAAGCAGAAATTCTTTCACGATATTTTTCATTTATCATAACAACGATTGACATTATATGTTCCTTTGTGCTTTTTTCTGGATCAAAATTCAGCCAAAGATATCGCTCGAGATACTGACTAAAAATTTGTTTTTTATCTTTTATATTTAAAAGTATAATTTCATTCAAAAATTTTATAATTTTATTATAGAAATTTATAATCATAAAAAACTAATTGATAAAGACAATATAAAAAAAAGCCAATTAAAAAATGAATTGTTAATCTTAAAATAAACCAGATAAATAAATGTATTGTGAACAAAAAAATTTTTACTCATACCAGCAGGAAGAACTGTTCCTATCTGCTTAAAAAATTTGTCAAATACAAATATTATTTCTAATAAACTCTGTGGGTATAAATAAAACTAGCAAGTAGTCGTTTCCATCATATCTGTAAGAGTTGAAACCGAAAACCACATTTATATTTCAATTCAAGGTAATTCAAACTTAACTCTACATATTTTAAGGAACTACTATAGCAGAATAGAGGTTTTTTAGTGAGTACCACACTCAAATGACTAAGTCGAATTAACGAAATATGGATAATATATAAGATATATATTATATTACATATGTTATGTAAATTAAAGAGAACGAACCTGATTTCGAGCATAACAATCTTTTGCTGTGAAAATATATCCTCTTTTAGCAATTCATTGTGATATATATTTAGAATAAGTGATGCGTCAAATGGTTTATGTAAACCAAATGGTGCCCAATAATGATAAGCAATCTTTAAAATATTTTATATAAAAATATTTAAAGACTATAAATTATTTTTGTATAAAGAATAAACTTATACTTTAAAAAAATTGGAAATTTAAAATTAAAAATTAAATAAATTAACACTAATTAACATTAATAAATTAAAAATTTGAATCTTTTAAATATTTTCATATTAAAAAAAAATTACATAAAAAAATATTTTTTCAAGTAAATTATATATATATATATATATAAATGAATATTTACATATTTAAATATCCTTACTAAAAATAAAAATAAAACATATTTGCAAAAATAAAAAACCTCAGTTAATTTATTTTGTGATATATCATCGACCGTGAAATGACTCTTTCGAAATGACTTTCCATGTTTTGTCATTTCTGAAATTTTAAGAGCATAAAATTTTATTACTTATTATTGTATATTTTATTTTATTATTTAAACTTAAAACTATAAAGGTTGATAGACGCTTAATTTGTGATTTGCAAATCGAAGCATAATTTTTTTTAGCTTGTTATATAAAAAACCGATTCAACTTAATAAACTACAAACTGATTTCATTCTAAGATACAAATTTAAGCCAAATCCTTACACCCTATAAATTGAATACCTTCGATTTAAACTTTGAATGATAGACCAACTCATTCTATTATAAAAGTGCAGTTAGCTACAGAAAAATTTAATTTAAAAATCCCTCATTTTTAAATGCAATTGCCTATTGTCAGTTTTGAATAAATCTTAAATGCACCTAATAAATAAATAGAAGAAAACTGCATTAATATAATAAATAACTCGAGTATTTCACGATGTCAATTAATCAAAAATAAAAACAGATCAGTGGAGCAATGCTTCCTGCGTCAAATTATAACAAATCCTTCATATAATAATTATATTATTTTTATTTTTGTCATTCTTTATGATACAAACGAAAGTCCATAAAAAATCAATGGAAAATAATTCTATAAATCCAAAAATTTATTTCTGATATCAGATAACAAAATCAATAAAAAAAAAAATAAAATAAAAATAAGCAATAAAATAAACTACAATTTTAACAATAAAAACAATAAAAAATAAACAATACTTAAGTGAAAAGCATTTAGTACCATTTACTATTTAAATCATTTATTCTTCACCAAGTTCAGCACGAACGAAATCGATGATTTTCGCTCCATGACTATTAACGTATTCATATACCGATTGCGAAGGACAAAGCATAAAAGATTGTCGGAGCAAGGAAGTTTCCTTTTCATCCAATTGTGTAGTCTGCAAAATAATCCACCAAGTGCTTTAAGAGGAAGTTTATGTAAAATGTTAGTAAAGTTCAATGGTGGTGGTTTTCAAAAACAAAAATTTATATATACTACCTCAACTGAACCATCATCATCAGAACTGTCCACAGTATCAATCTCTTCAAGGTGGGAAGCCTGTGAAGCTTCTTGTCTAGTTAAATCTTCTATTTCTGGAGGAGTTCCAATATTTAAAGATCTGCAAATCAGTAGACTTTCGAAAGATCCAATATATATATATATAGTTAAAAGCAAAGAAAAAGAGCGTTTAGGTAGAAAAATACACCAGAATTAGCCAAATGACTTCTCTCTTCTAAAAAAATGGAGTGAAAACAAATAAACATACTTCATTCCGACAATATGTTGACAAATTTGTTCTCCTATAGTTTTTAACGGAAAATCTCCCGGTGCAAATCTTCGCAATCCAACAATTGAAGCAAATCTTCCCATATTTACTTCTTTGGTACCTTCTAAAAAATATCAAACTTCCCAATCAATCAAACGTTCATTCTTTAAGTTCATCATGGAAGTTACAAATTTACCTTTCGGATGAGTATATCCTGATAACATAATATCTGGATCGGCAACTATTCCGTACACTTTCTTTAGGACAATATTCTCACCAATTTTTCCAACTGTGTTTGCCAACAAATCATTTATTGTCATCTTTTTATTCTCAGAATAAAGCTTATCTAATTCTGAAATTTTATTTTCATTCGAACAGAAAACATTTTAATTCTTTAATTACTATAATAACTATAATAGAATAACTAAAGACTAATAAGACTGATCGCAAATTGGCAGTTTAAATGGAAAACAAACTAACAAACCCATCAAGCCATCATAAGTTTATTTCGATGTAAAAAATAAATATTAAACTGAATAAAACGGAATACCTATTTTGATCGGAAGCAATCGTTCTGGCTGGGCTTTTAAATTGAGTGAGCGCATAGTATTTATAGCGGACAAAACAATCTCTTCCACCTAAATTAAAATAGCAGTAAGTTTTCATTGTTTCTATAGTTTGATGATTATTTGTCGTCTCAAAATACGTAAACCAATTAAGTGCACTTCTCATGCAAGTAACAGTCGTATATTAAGGATTCAGTGAATTTAGGTAGAGGCAATCCATAAAAAAAATGATAATGGTAATTATGCTGAACCAAAATCTCTATCAAAATAAATCAATGCAATGGGGTATTAAATTGGTATAATATAGCAAGAACAAAACTTTCCAAGGATTTAAATATCTCGCTTCGTGCTACAAAATCAGTTTCGCAATTAACTTCAACCAGTACAGCTTTATTATCTTCGATCGCAATTGAAATCAGACCATTTATAGCTTTCCGATCACTTAATCTGAATTTGATTACATACATATAAGATATATAAATCAAATAAATTAATAGAATATCTTTAGCGAACTACATAAATTCTTTCACAATTCTTCAAAATATCACTAAATATCAAATAAGTCGTTCTGCGGTACGAATTGATACGAATTGATCCATCAAAATAGAAGCAAAAACGAACTTAGTAGCTTTCATCCATCCTTCCTTAACAGCCAAATTGTGCAACCATTTCTCGGCATCCTCGAGTCGATTTGCACCAAATTCCAATAGTGCTTTTCGACAATTCACATAACTATACCCAGTGCGTTTCCTCAATGTTTTTAATGCCTAAATATAAATGAACAAAAATATTATAATTCGATAATTCCAATCAGTTTTTTACAGGTAACAAAGGTAAAAAAAATTATATAGCAAAAGAGTTGTAGCAGATTTGGCTTCAATAAGAAAAATATAATTGCCTGCTTCATTAAAACCTTTTTATTTCTTCTTACAGCTGGCATTACATCGCTCCTTTTAGTTGCCTTTTGGCTATTAATATGGTGAAATATTATAAAACCTTCCGACTAAGTGTACCCATTAAATCATACGATTACTAACGAATTTAAGTAATTTCCAAATATAACGAGAATGCATACTTCTTTGTCGACTGGTGCTACTGATGTATTTGATGCTGTTGTTTTCAAACAAAACTTGCTTATTGATGCCAAACGAAACAATTGTTTGGTTCGCAACATTCCAGAAAAAATTAAATCTAAAATTTTTTTATGAATATATTTTCTTAATTGATTAATTCGTAATAAACGATAGCTAAAAAAAGAGCTTTCGAAGAGCCTATCTGAATGAAATCAGAATGTGCTCTAACGAAGCCGGATTTCGACGAAGTCATGAATGTGCTGAGCAGCATTCACGCTAAGGATATTCAAATATCCCTTCAAATATTGGAAAGCAACGGTTTCCCAAGAAACACCATCTATATCTATACATAAAGTCATTTTACTAGGATACAAATCTGAGTGTTTCTTTCTTCCGAAATAAGAATCTCCGTGAAATAAACTCTAATATCCGTAAGATTCCTCCTCCTCGCATATTATTTGACATTATGACTAAATGGATTATAGGCGCCGTTCAAGAACACTCATGAGGTGTCATACCACAGCATACTATCACATATCTTGAATATGCTATAAACCTTAAGACTTTTATTTTTTGGCAAAAATGAAACGAATGAACTAAAGATGCGATGGTACCCACGAGATTCCAGGCCAATGTAGTTAAGCCTTTTCGTCTTATAAAAAACATGTTAATGCATATTTAAACGTTTTCACTCTTATAAATAGTCAAATAAAAAACGAAATCGAGCTCGTATAGCAGCAGCAAGAAACACTTCCTTTCGTTTTGCCTTTGCGGAATCGCCATAAATGCCATCTGTATTGACATCGTCACAAATCGTAACTTGTTAGGCTATCGTTTTCTGTCGTTACTGTTTATCAAGCCATATATTAAAAGCAAGATGAACCATATCAAGATCTTGACTGATATAAAAGAACATAGGCAAGCCAGCGATAAATGGTTGCGGAAAAATGAGTAACTATTGATTTCAGATGTGGCAGTAGACAAAGAGACTTGGAGAAGCCTCACTCTTGTACTCCAACTGATTTAGCCTAGCCACTAATTTCTCCTAAAAGTGGTGCACTATGCAAATCTAAAACTGATCGGCTGATCTAAGTTTTTGATTTACAAAGGATAATTGTTTTTAAATGCATTTTAGGCTTTAGAAATCCACCCAGCCACCTCCCCTCCTCCTCATCTCCCCACTCCGACCCCATACAATATTCCCTTAAACCAACATTTAAATAAAACAGCTGACTTTCAGTAAAATGCAGTTTCGGCTTCGGTTGTGGCGTCAGCATAGGTAATCATTGAATCGATGAGACGTTTTTGTCATTTTAATTGTTTTTTATTGGTTCTTCGGTGGGTTTTTCTTTGTTTCTTCGTATAATAAAGTAATCGTTTTTGCTAGAAACGTTATAAACTTCCCCTTTACAGTGGTTCGCATCATTCTTGGCTCGCCTAACTCAAACTTACGTAGCCTACTTGGCCGTGGCATTTTTAAAGTGTTTGAAAAACGCCATACTTGTCGAAATTTGCATTTTCATCTCTCTAAGCTCGCGTTTCGCTGAACTCTCCGTGAATTTCCTAAATTTTTATTAAAGCGTTATATTTACTATTGAATGTGAATTCAGAGACTACTTTTAGTCATTAGAAATTTATCTAATTTGCTAAGAGATTTAACGATTTTCTTTGCTTTCCTATGGGTTTTTTTTATAGAAAGAATTAATTTTTAATTAATTTTTGTGATTTTATAAAATTCTAATTTTATTATAAATCATATTTTAATTGTTTTATTTTCTAGGTTATTTCATTAACTGAATGAATATTGCATGTGATAATGAATGTACATCGGGATTATTGGATGATATTCATTTGGAGAACAATTTTGGTGATGGTGATTTCTACGATTCCAGTATAGCATTTGATATTCATCCGATTTGTAGTGATGATTTTGTAAGTTATTGTTATTTCTTTAATTTTGTTAAAAAAAAGGTTTTATCTCTTGTTTTTATTAAAGAAAAAAAGTATACGAAACGATAAGCTTCATATTTTATTGTTATTAAAAAAATTATTTATCGCAAATTTATGATTTAATTCATTTAAAAATTGCAAATTAATTTGTAGTAATGAGTATAAATTTTCAAAATCGTGAAATTTTTAGTTTTTAAGCGAACGGATAATTTTCGAAATTTTAGAAGCATTCATATAAGCAGTCATATTTCATATTATTAGTTTTTTTTTTAGTTGTTGAATGTTGAGGAAACGATCACTTCAACAGAGAATTTAAATAATTTAAACGATTTTGTATATCTTGATGGTCTTAATAATGGGTCGTTTTCATGTGCTAGAACTTTGAATTGGGTAATCGTTTTATCTACTGCATTTTTTTTAGTGTTGAAATAATTTTAAAAATCAATAAAAGTTTTATAGCGAAGGATCAAGCAAAATGATTGGTGAGTATTCATGGCATTTTATTCCTATTCAGTTTTTTTTCTAAAAATTCAATTATACTTATCTTTGATTATGATGTACAAGAGATTTTTTTTTTCTACTTTTGTGAGCCCTTGTACAAAATAAGTTTTTCAGACGAAAAATAGTCGCACCAATACACATAAAGCTGTTTCTCCTATCAAAAATGATTTTGGAAATGCTAAACAACTTGATATAGATGAGTATGCCGATATTCAAGATTTTGTTAGTGTTATCTTTTTTTTCATTCAAATGCCCTTTAAAATATATATATATATATATATATATATAAAACACAACATTGTAAATGAACAGGTATCTCGGAAATTAGATGTTCATCGAATAGAATCACGTGGAAATATACCGAGTTTCAAATCATGTGGTCCATGGAAGCAGAGGCGCGTTCAAATCAAAACCATTGGCGGTGAATATGAAGCGAATGTTTGGGTTGCTGGTAATCCACATGGTTAGTTCTCATATCATATTCTGATTTCTTTAAATAAATTATGTTTTGTATTGATTGTGCTTGCTCTAAGTAATGATTGTTTTATTTTTTTTTTAGTTTTTTATACATACTTTTCATATGTAACGCTTTTTTTTTCACTATTTCTTCTTCAAAACAGATGATTTCAAGGAAGAGCAAATGTTTTGTCGTCTACAATTGTAAAAAGTCAAAAGTCGTGCAATGGATCTTTGTTTCATTGGGATTTGATCGATTTAGAAGCAAACCACTCAATGAAAGAAGTAATAATTCATCGTCATTATAAGTTTAACTTGAATTTCATTAATTTCGCATAAAACAATAAAGAACTATTCTGTTTGGTGATATAATCTATTGGTTTTAGTAAAATTTAATAAATTTTATTCGAAAATAATTTCAGATGCTGTCAAAAATTCGTGAACCAAATCTGACATTGGCTGAAACTAATATATCGAACAATGAAACTCCTGTTATCTCAAATAGCGAGTTAAATCTTGGTTTAATTCGCTTCAGTCGTTCTTCTGATCTAATGCGAACTACAGATAAAAATGTTGATGATAAGCATAATGCTAAAATTGATCGTGAGAAATTTCAAAAGGCTTCGAATCGTTTATGTGAAGTATGTTTTTAATTAACAAATGTTTTTAGAACTTCCCCTTTCATAAATTATTAAATGTTTTAAATTAAAGCAAGTTTTAAATTTTAAAGCATGTTTTTATATGTTTTTGCTTTAAAGGGAGAAAGGCTAGAAAATTTAAACAGATAACGAAGATATGAAAAGCGTGACATCCAATGGCTACATAATTGTTGCATATGAGTGGAATTTTATAGGTGCTTCATTTACTCGAAATTTTTATTGCTTTTTTTATGACAGGATAGCGTTAACAAAAAAATCTCTGCAGATGATTATTAGAGAATTTAGGGGTCAGGCGACTTATAATGAAAGTTTTTATTTCGGTTAGCATTTGGGTACAGCAAAGAAATTTTTCAATCACATTTCAATTACATTTTGAGCATTTTTTTAAAATGGAACTTTTTGATGAATGGAATGAAAAAGAATGGAAATCGATTTTAGTTCAAGTTTTCAAAAAATCGGCGATCAAATCCACAGAGAGTGGCGAAGTCAGTTCGAATGATAAAGTTACATCGAGTTCAGGACAAGTATACCATTTATTTAAATATTAATTGTTTAGTAAATCTCTTCATTACAATCATACTTACCCAAAAAACAAATTTATATTGAATGGGCATACGGGCATTTATATTGAAAGTTTTCTTAAGTATTTTTGTTAATATTATGATATTTTATCATTATCGTTGATATATTTCTGTTTTTTTCATTTCGTTTTATGAAACCATTATTAAATGTCATTTGATGGCTACGCTATGTAGCTTTATATGTAATTTAGCTCAATAATTTTTTACAATCATACATATGGAATTTTCAAAATTTCATTTATTGATTGATTTATTTTCAGTTTTTCCAGTGTCGAAAAGTCATCTTTGAAGAAAGTTCCGTGTCCATTTGAGGTTAGCTGTATTAATACTTTTATTAATTAATATTTTGCCATGGTTTTTTAAAATATGTCGTTCATGCTAGGCAATATATATTCCTTGTTTTAATTTGTACTTCGAATTGCAGAACTGCAACAAGCTGTTTAAAAATTGTGCAGCTCTTCGAAAACACGTTATATTTCACAGACCTCCTTCTCATGTTTGTCTTGACTGTGGTCGCGCGTTTGTCGAAAGATCAAAATTACGTCGTCACCAATTAGTTCATACAGGAGAAAAGCCTTTTCAGGTTCGATTCTTATATTATTTATTTTCACACTATTATCTCTCAAAACGCGCCTAATATAATCTGTAGTTTATATTTGTTGCAGCTATGGTAATGACCCGAATTAGATACGATCATAACCATTTTAAAACTAGAAGTCCCTAATAATATTTCATCAGTTCAAGAGCAATTGGAAAGTTGTTTCAATACAGCGAGTCTAATTACTAGTTGCGCCCTTTTAGATGAAAAAAAAGGAATATTATAGGCACGTAGTGCATTTAGATGTTCTTTATTATTTTAAATAATTAAACTGTCGGCCAATTTCAGTGCAATTTTGAAGGATGTGGCAAACGATTTTCACTTGATTTTAACCTTAAAACGCATCAACGATTACATTTTGGTATTTCTTTCATAATTTTTTTGGCAATATCTGGAAATTAATGGTCATTAAAAATTGCAATTTAAACTTAAAAATTGGATGAGTTTGAATGTAAAATTTTCAGGTGACAAGCCATATTTGTGTTCACACTGCGAGAAGACATTTGCTCAGTCAACAAATCTTAAGTCTCATTTAAAAACACATGCAAAAAGGAAAAGGTTTGGACTTGATTTTAGGAGAGTTTCCTGATTATCATTTTCAATTTCAATAAATGGTGCTATTGGAATATGTATTGATTACACAGTATCGAGGAAAATATTTTCTATTAAATGGTACAAGCCGATAATAGAGCAAACTTCTCACCTTGGCCTTTAATCGGAGATTTTATCGTATATATAAAATTTACAGTAGCATATAAAAATGTATCTAGTTTGCAGTATCACTAAAATATAACTCAAACGAGGATTCAAAATTGAATTAGCTCAATTTTCAGTTTGACTTTGTTTGAGTAGAATGTTTCAGAAAGCATATTTCATCAATAAATAATAGATTTTAGGTTTTGAAAATAGAAGTAAAAGGATGGAAGGAAATTGTATTCCGTCAAAAAATTATTTTAGCCCATTTTATACTCTTACAAATATATGCAATTCCTGTTAACTGCATTTCAGCGACGCTTAATTAATTGTATTCAAGCGTTTTTGGCTTCCTACCATTTTGTTTGTTTATATTGTTTAGTGTTTATAATTTCTTGCATCTGTCATTTATTTTTCGTATTGCGTCAGTGGCCTATTGTTTTATTTGGCAAATTTTTGATTTTCATTGTTTCTTTTTTTTTACAAAAATCAACACCAAAATTATTATATATTTCATATAAAAATTTAAAGGGAAAAATCTGTCACTTTTATATCTCTTTTTAACATATTTATTTATTTTATTCATATAATATATTTGTACGTGTCTGCCAGTTTTATTTCTTTTCCATATATTTCATATATTTATTTATGTATTTTGCTTATTTGTTTAATATATATCTAAAATCGCATCACAGCCGACTCTCCCTACCTTTCCGGTTATCTACCTTGTCCGGTTATCTACTCGTAATCTCCCAGGCTTATAGTAGAGGACTCCAGGTTGAAGACGACCCACACCACCCACAGTTAATGTGAGAGGTATTTTATAAACATATATATGTATATACTTTATATATTGTATTTACTTATATTTATATTATATATTTCATATATTTTTCGGTATTATCGCCTCGCCATTTATGTTTTTTACGAAGTTTAAACGATAACTTTTGTTAGTGATTTGTTAATTTGTGACGAATTTCCACTTTATTTTCCACTTTATTCAAAAATTTTATTATTCCGTTAATATTTATAAAAGTGCTTTTTCAATTTTTTAGTAATTAATATATATATATTTCATAGGAGTAATTTTTAGTGATTTTTATAAGCCATATTATTTTAATTTTTATTATTCGCTTGTTTCACTTTCTTTCCTTTGACTGAAGAAAGCGTAGGTGAGACGAGATTGCGGTCCCTACGCAGGAATAAAATTTTCATTTTAAATGCAAGTGCGAGTGATCGCACAGGTTCCACATATAGCTCTGCCTTCAAGTGACTTTAATAATAAAAGTCATCCTATGCCTTATTGTTCTTTGGATTAAATAATGCAACTGTGACAATTTTACTGAAAAAAATTGTGAGTTGTTGCTAAATATTATTTTAATGCTATGTTAAAATTATAAACTTGTAAAAGCGTAAAGACCAGGTTATTCAATTATTTATTTAATAAATATGGTGGAGAACAAAAAAACGAAACGAGTTCTACAAACAATATTAAAAAAAGAAAAAAAACACAAATTAAGAAAATTCAATTAATGAATAAAATACATTGGATTGAAAGAGATTTTTTAGATAACGAATAAGCGATATCATTAATAGTTTTGTTTGAATTATTCTTGAAACGGAAGAGATAAAAATGAACTGATAATACAAAACTAATTGATAATTCGTTTGTGTAAGCTCAAATTAGTTGAAGAAACTAATGTAGATTAATTAATACAGTGCAGTTTAAATACATTTCTTTCTGTGAAATTATTAATTAGCCAAGTCAAAATATTTACCAGAATTTCAAAAAAAGAAAAAAGTTGTTTCTCAATATTTTATAAGCATACATAAATCGTCTTGTTAATATTGCGAGAATCAACGCTGTATAAATCTAAATAATTTACATTTATAGATTTCCATTCACCAAATCAGATGTCATGAGAATTTTTTAAGATGTTTGTCTCTGATTTTTGTAAATACTACGTGTGAAACTTTTAAAACAGCTAAGACAATTCACTGTTTATCGATCTACGCTTAAATATTCATCTTTAAGGCTATAAAAATACGCGAAATTTCCTACGAAATCACTACATATTTCGAATATAATAAGAACAAAACAAAACAAAAAAACAAACTTTCTTCACCAAATTAGATGTCTAAGTTTGATAAAGTTGGATCACTTATCGTAACATTTGTAAAGCTCGAACTTTCTTCAGCTTCTATATTATTGGTATCTTGTGCATGACTTTGACTATTTTCGCTATCAACAGTGCGATTATCTGCGTCGTATTCCTTAACTTCTTCGCCCTTAAGTAAAAATAAAATTATGAATTGCAATATGGATAGAATAACCACAGTATTTGATGCTACTGTAAAACACAAGCTGAATTTCAATGAATTAAAAAAATAACTGTGAACTAACATCCAAGTTTCTGCTTTTTAATAAACCGATTTGAAATGCTTCATCACATTCCACACCAATCATTGCAGAGTGTACAGTTCTAATAAACATTTCTGATGTAGCTCTCAATGCCGGTAATAATTTCAACAAAGCGACACATTGCGTCGACTAAATTTGCGTAATAAAATAAAACAGCTAAATAGCTTAATAATTATCGGTGGAATAAGTCAAAATCAACATATCATGTCCATCTAAAACCATGTGCATAAATATTCAGTTATTCAGAATTTTTTATTAATTAATTAGAAATTTTTATTAACCTTTGCATAAACACTAATATTTTGCAATGAACGATTTCCAATTTGTACCGTCTTTAGGACAGCATTCGCAGCAGTAGCATACTTTGAAAACCTAAAACACCTCACAAAAAAACGACTTATTAAATGTTTAAAGAAGCAGAAAGATTTAATTATTCGCTTAGAAGAGAAAAGAATGAAAATACCTCTTGCTCCTGTCTAAAAAACGCATAAACGAATTTTTGCTTGCAAAATTATGAAGAAATATTCGACCTTCACGGGCTGCACATATTAAGACATTGTTATTTCGTAAATCCTGTTCATTTGGAAAAATATATCTGCATTATTTTATATTCAAAAATTTTTATTCAGATAAAAAACAAGAAAGAAATTTGTAAGGAAAATTTTAGCTAAAAATTTAGATTTTTGGAACTGAAATTAATTTAATTTATAAACTTATTAATTTATTTATTAATTTATAAATTATTTTAATTTATTACTTATTTATTAATTTATAAAGTTCGATTAGTAATTTATTAATTTTCGATTCTTCAATGGTGAAAAAGTAAATGAAAAATATGAGGATTGAAAAAAATTTAATGGTTGAATAAAGTGGTGTTATTGTTTTGCTTTTTTGAATGAACTGTCAACTTAAGCCAACTTCAAGATTATGACTGAGATTATGATTATGATTAGGAAAGATTATGACAAATCTCATATATATCAAAAATATTATTAAGGAAAATATTCACCTTTACTCTAATTAGCAACGCTAATAAACAAAAAATGCTGGCTGCTCTCTTCCATTGAAGCAAACATTCGTCAAGATCTAATAAGCCACATCTTGCTGCACTCATAGAAAGCTGTTTTGCAGCATCATTAAGACAATGGAAAAGTACTTTGTAGACTGAATGAAAAGTTCCTCTAAACTATATATTTTACTTAAATAAAGAATGTTCTATGAAATATTGATGAAAACATCCAAATATCAAGAAATTTCTTTGAAACAATTCTTATTCATAAGAATATTAATTGAAAAATTGATTTAAAAAAAGGGGAATTTAAAGACCTCAGTGAAGCCAAAGAGTTATTAGTTAAAGATTTTTAAATAATTTAATTTTATTTCAACCTTTAAACATATCATTAATTATTCATAAATATTACGTTTTGACTATTTCATAACTAATCAAGAATTGTAAACCTTGGTAAAAGTAGAAATTAAAATATGGATAAATTTCTTTTGCTATCGCTACAATATTTATTATAATTATTATAATATCTATCACAATTATTTTAAAAGAATTAGAAAGACAAACCTTGTGAAACAACCATAATGTTCCACTTCATATTCAAAACTAATTTCATCATCCTTACATTCATCCAAAATGGAGATTTTACTTCGCCGGCGCTCTTTCTCAGGTACAAGTAATGACAACTTATTTGCTAATAGCCACTGGATTACTAGAAGTCGCTTGGATTCCTTTCGTAGAAATATGTAGCGCCTAAAAATTTTGATAAAGAAAAATCAAAACAAATCCCTCAAGACAGAAAGCCTGGAAAAAAAATTAGCTCACTAGATATAAATAATGAAAATTCGTTAAAAAAAAAGCTTATATACTATAATACTTATAATTTGATTTATGAAAAAAAGAAAAAATTTATCTACGAAACAATTGAAGGAAAATAACTCTAGAACAATGGATACAGCTTTATTGAATACAGGTCCTTTTAACTGTTTACTTCCACGTTCATCAAGCCAATCTTTTTGCAAAAATGAAAGGGCTAGTTGAGCTGCAAAATTATTTGAAATACACACAGAATAATCTTTTCTATTAATGCATCTTGAGATAGAAAAAACTGTAGATAATCGATAGCCACATTCGTCATATTTGCTTCAATAAAATAAAAGTGACTTTTATCAAAATAATTCTGTGAAAAATCCCCACTTTTATTGAATCGTTAGACACAGAAACCCGTCAAACAGACGAATAATTCAAATTTTAAACAAAAATTCAACAAAAATTTTATGAAAAAATAATATACAATGAAAAAGGGAACAACTTTTAATGAAAACTGATTCAAATTTATTTAAAACCAAGAGATAGTTGGAAGAATAAATCAAGATATGTAGATAAAATACAGGTTAGTCGGGCTGCTTAAATTAATTGACTTGGGAGCCAGGAATTTGGATCCTGCCTTAAATATTCCACACTATTAATAACCACTTTTTTAAGTTGCACAAGTATGTATTGTCACTCAGCATGTTTTCTAAATATCTACGGTTCTGATCCATTTAAAAAAAAAGACAAAGAAACTTTTGAAACAAGGAGAAATAAAACAGACCCATTTCTAATCTCTGCTGATTCGTTTCAGGATATAACATAGAAAGAATGTACAAAAGAGCAATCGCACAATTTAGAGTTGGCAAAACAGGGCCAATTTTGATAAAATATTTTAAAATAAATCCCTGAAATGGACAGGAAATGAAAATATCAATGAACAGATTCCGCAAAAAAAAAATTCTAAAATTAATATATGATTAGAACAGAAGTCTGAAAATAACGGATGAATGACAAATTTAAATTCTTCACAATAAAAACCAATGCGGATTGCGTTAGATTTAGATGCGGATTGCGTTAGATTTAGACTACCAAAAGATGAGTGAAATAACCAAAAGTAAATTATAACGAATTATAGAAGCATAAAAAAAGGCAGTAACAATTTTTTAATTCTTATTAAACTAATGCGGCCAATAATATTTGCAGAAAAGAATTTTAAATGCATATGACGCCATTCTAAAAAGAAAAGAAAATCACCAAAGAATTACACTATAGCGAAAATTAAAAAAATAACCTCCGCATCGCCAGTAGAAATATCTGAATAATCTGAATAGTCGAATGCTTTGCAACTAATCAAGGCTTCTTCAATTTTTTCCATTAAATTATTACGCCAATGTGATTTTCTTTGAGCCCTTTGAAATTCACTTTGCATACACCGAGAAGCATTCACCACTTTTTTAAGTTCTGCACTGAAAAATTTCTAATTTTTTAATAGCTAATAAATATGTATCTGCATTCACTTCGTCCGATTCTTTTTAGCATAAAGAAAAATTTGATAAAAAAAATCAAAATTTGGAAAATTTTTTTTAATTATTTAAGTACCACAGAAATTCAAACAATCCGGAAACGCGAAATAGAATCCACAATAACTTACCATTCAAAAATATCCTGAAATATTTGGAGCGACAAATATAGACAATTTACAACATCTTTTTCGCTTTCAAGATCTTTAACAGAAGAGGAATCATGAAACGTTTTGAAATATTCTATAGAATCCTTCAAAACCGTCGATATAATGGGTAAAACTGAATGGACACAACGCCATACACTTTCTCGATCGCCATGGTCAATTAATAAATCACCCGGAAGTGGTTCAATATTCACCTGCATTCATATAATTTTTCGCAAAGAATTAAAATTCAAAAAATTAGAAAATTCAAAAAAAAATATGGATGATTTCCGTGATTGCAGACTGGATGAAACTGAAAATTTGTTGTCGAATAATCTTTAATATCCAGATTTACTCATTCTGATTAGTGTATTTCATTATTGAACTAGAAAATTGTTAAAAATACATGATATTAATATCAGAAAATAAGAACTTAATCATAATTTCGAAATATAAAACAGGAATACCAACATTATGTAATTTCGTTTCTTTTTCTTCCTCATCTGTTGAAAAGACCTTTTGTAGAATTTTATGCAACTGCTCCAAAAGAAAAAACATTTTTTTTCGTTTTTGACCACATAACTAAAAAACTTTGAAGATTGGTAATGGATCTGTACCATTAAAGAGAACATCTAAAGATAGACAGATAGTCGAAAGCCCATAAAATGCCCACAGAATCAGAACAATACTAAAATATTTTGGTTATGATAATCGAAACTTTTAGATAATTATTTAACATTTTGAAAAATGCCAATTAAACCAGATCCAAATTTAGTCAATCATCTTAATTATGCCAAATAAAACCTTACCACCAACAATTTAATAACAGCCTTAAGCTTTATAGGAAAAAAGCACGAAAGCAACTGGCCCGTTTCTACGATTCGATATTTCTTCTTTCGAAATGATTCTTCTGAGTTACTTTGTACAACCTCTACCAAATTTTCCTTAAAAATTATTTGCAAAATTCATTATTTTAAGTCAATAAAAATTCATACAATTAGATGATACTTCATTATATGACTGAATGAAAAAAATCAAATTCGTTTAAATCAAAAACATCTATGGAAAACAAAATTAATAAAAATAAACAAGTGATATAGCGACATACATTCTCTTTATCTGAAGTATCTGGAATCGTATTACAACCATCATCAATATCATTTATACCTTCCTCAATACAACAATCACCATTACCATCTAGCCGAAGTTCGTCGTCTTCACCATTATTAACTGCCAATTTGTTCTTCTTTCCTTTACCTATCTTTATTTGAGACTTTGCTTTTCGCTTTCTAGGTTTACGTCTAGTCGATTTTAAGCCTTCAACAATGATCATTTTTCCGCCATAAATCACGGAAGATGCTAAGACATATTCATCAATACCTGAAATAAACATTATATATCTATTTTTCCTCAGGTTAAAACTATCCTATTCATCGCCAGAGAACATAGAGAATTGAATTTTATAGAAAAATAAAAAAATAATATAGAACTGAAAGATATGAAATCGATGCAAGCAAAAAGAAAAATAAAAAATAAAGCAGAATTCAGAAGATTCTCACTACTGAGCAATAATGCAAGGCGTTGCTGACAGTCGAACATCAATGAGAACTTCTTTCTAATTAGGTTTTCCGCTTTCACGTTGGAATCAGTATCATCATCAGCAAAAGTATTGAGTAGCTAAAAAACCAATCTTTCTCATTAAATGAAAAATTTTTGAGAAATAAAATTTCAGCGAAAATCGCATAATCTCTTTTTTTAAAAGATTTGTAAATCAAAAAATTTTTTTAGGAAGTTATAGCCTAATTCTCAAATAGCTCGATAATGATAAATGAATCGAAAAAAAATTTTCAAGTTTCCCTTAGATTTATTTATTTTGCAAGCATATGGGCAAGAAACTCATGAAAATAAAATCAAATTTAGAAGAGCATGAAAGAATTAAGGAAATTGTCTGACTAGACGTATCCACTCGATTGTAAAACAAAAAATGTCGCAATTCATTTTAATACTTTTCATATTTGAAGCTTGTGAAGAAACACCAATCAATGAGATGTTTGCTTCTGAAATTTTATCTATTTTATCAATATTATTGATATGCCCAATTTTCATAATTGCACAGATAAGTATATATTTAAATTAATTTAATAAATTTCATCCATTTTAAATTAAATTATCTGATAATACTATAATATGTAAATATTATTCTTATCCTAGCAGAATCGGAAAAGCCAAAACCAGTGCACCTCACCTAAAACAAATAAAAATTGCGAATGAAGTTTCGAAAAGATTTGTTGAGTATCACTTCCCGAACACTTTAGAGTTTGCATCGCAACAGATCGCAGAAGATTGAAAAGTGGAAACAAAGTATAGATACAAGTTCGATTGATGAGTTGTCCATTAACACATCCGATTACATATTCGCTTAATAAGAGCCATTCACTGTGTTCTTCATCCACGAAACTATCGCATTCCAATTCACTATAAATCAATAAAAGAGTTAAGATATAAGACTTTTTCTTAACTCATGTATCTTATACTATAAGCTAGTAGGTCTATTTTCCTTGAATATGGAAAATACTGATATACTTCATTTCTAAAGGCAATAAAAACTAAAAAAAATCCCTATTATGACATTAAATCATTGTTCTCTGATTAAAATTATGATCATCCAGAAAATATTTACGGATCTCGTTCAATTTCATGGCGTTTTCCAAAGAACTTCTGCAACTCCTCTTCAAGCTTCCCAGTCCATTCAGCCTGAAACCTTCGATATAACAGCTTAAAACCAGTTAATACACAGAAATTTGCAAAAAAATTCGAAAAACCGCGAACTTTTCATTTTTCAAGCTACTTTATAAAAATGGAAGATAAAAAGAAAGGAATAATAAAGAAGAGGAAAAGAGATTCATTGCTTTACTCGTAAACAAACAAGCATCGAAGTTCCAAAATACTATTTTACATATTTCAAATTATCGTTGAAATGCTTCATTGCTAAACTAAAATATTCATCCATTTAATCAAGAAAATATTGCCAGTGTAAAAATATGAGAACCGAATAATAGCTCACATTCACAACATTTGAGTACAAGTACAAAAAAACCAACCAAAGCAACAGTTGTGGCCATTTTAGGATTACCATTGATAACACAAGTCATGTTTTGAAATAAAATCGCGCGTACTTCTGGATTTTCTTTTGTTCTTCGATCAAGCATTGATAAATTGTGTTCTATATATAATTCAGGAGCAGTTTCCGAATGACTGAAAATCATTTTTACGAATGATAATAAAATTAAAATAGAAAATGGCGCAAAGAGAAGAACAGTGATGATAAACAGAGATTAAATAATAAACAGAAATAAAATGACAGCTTTTTTTCTTTTTTTTGATTTTTATAACAATAAAAGTTTTTTTCTTAATAGCATAAATGAACGAAACTATCCCCCGAATATAAAACAAAATTACTTACTTATTACTCTTTAATCGAGCATCGAGACTCATTACCACACCAAGAACACCCCATATATTTTCTCGCAAATCTGTGGACAACAACATCAATTCAATATTGAGTGTGAAATTATCCTTCAATTAACCGATATGAAAAAGCATAGAAAAGCATAAAATAAGCTATCTCAAGATGAAGAAGAGGAATAATGATTGAAGGATAATTAT